AGGATAGGTGACTCGAGGGTCGTGGGTTCGAACCCGGCCGCCGGCTTTTCGATAATTTGCGGCGCCCGGGATATTTCGGATTTCTTTTTTTTGCGTTTTTTTTTTTTGGTCACATTAATCATTTTTAACGAGTGTTCCGATTTTTTTCAAAATTCGCGTTATTATATTATATATATCGGTATTTATATATATTATTATTCGTTTGACTATATTTATTTTGCAAAAGAATAATAATTAACATTTAATTAATACTTGATTTTACCGTGACCAACCTACAATATAATTATAATGTAGTACCTACTTGATATATTAAATACTGCTACAGATTATAAATACTGTTTAATACAATATTAATAAACTATATTAAAAAATAGTACTACTGTATGACTGCTCCATTTGCCGTTTTTTTTCGAAAATTCGAGTTTCAGCCCCTTTCGGTCGTATCACCCTCCCCGTCGACGACTTATTCGAGTTCCCCGCTAAATTTATAGACGGTGCGCGGCCCTACTTTTTCACAGACGAGTCCCGGGGAGGAGAGGCGTCGCTTAAACGAGAGTAGGTACCTACCGATTGGGTATCGAGTCGGTACCGCTATATACGGGCATAAATACGTGGGTCTCGAAGTTCGATTTTTTTCGCGAAGCTCGCAGATTATACGTCTTAGGGCAGCGGAGCCGGTCGTCCGCTCGCCGACGCTGTCGGATCGCCCGCTCAAACGCCCTTTGACGGCCGTCCAAACAGCGTTCGCCTTTCGGGAGCACGGCGACGCGGCTTAAGAATCATAGAATTGACTCGGGTTATTCACCAATATAATTATCTATTTGTTAATTTGATTTAATTCTCATAATTAAATAAATATACATGGTAGGTATATTTTAGAAAATATTCGAAAATATCAGAAAATTAGATTTTGTCGACTTATTTGTTATAACCGCGAAAACATAACAATGATTACATTGATTATAAATACAACATAAAACACCTGAAAACTGTTCTCTATAATTATCAAAAAATACAATTTTATTACCTCCTGTATGCTTTTTCATATTTGAACGGCCGTTTCGAGCACTTTTCGCTCTAGGCTGATTGTCCGTTCGGGAATCGAATTTCACCCGAGATGACTGATAGCTAGACACTCAAACTCAGAATCCGAATTTCCGATTTCAACACGCATACGAGAACCGGACACACACGCCCGGTGCATGGTCTGCGATCCGACGTAGTCGGATTGCCTACCTGACTAGCTACTTGCATATGAGCGACTTACACCCCCACTGCATCCGACACTCGGGAATCGACTTTTACCCGAGATGACTGATAGCTAGACACTCAAACTCAGAATCCGAATTTCCGATTTCAACACACACACTCCAGAACCGGACATACACGCCCGGTGCATGGTCTGCGATCCGACGTAGTCGGATTGCCTACCTGACTAGCTACTTGCATACGAGCGACTTACACCCCCACTGCATCTGACACTCGGGAATCGACTTTCACCCGAGTTGACTGATAGCTAGATACTCAAAATCAGAATCCGAATTTCCGATTTCAACACACATACGAGAACCGGACATACACGCCCGGTGCATGGTCTGCGATCCGACGTAGTCGGATTGCCTACCTGACTAGCTACTTGCATACGAGCGACTTACACCCCCACTGCATCTGACACTCGGGAATCGACTTTCACCCGAGTTGACTGATAGCTAGATACTCAAAATCAGAATCCGAATTTCCGATTTCAACACACATACGAGAACCGGACATACACGCCCGGTGCATGGTCTGCGATCCGACGTAGTCGGATTGCCTACCTGACTAGCTACTTGCATACGAGCGACTTACACCCCCACTGCATCCGATCCGCTGCAGGTGGATTGTCCGTTCGGGAATCGACTTTCACCCGAGATGACTGATAGCTAGACACTCAAACTCAGAATCCGAATTTCCGATTTCAACACACATATGAGAACCGGACACACACGCCCGGTGCATGGTCTGCGATCCGACGTAGTCGGATTGCCTACCTGACTAGCTACTTGCATACGAGCGACTTACACCCCCAGTGTCCCCCACTGCATCCGACACTCGGGAATCGTCTTTTACCCGAGATGACTGATAGCTAGACACTCAAACCCAGAATCCGAATTTCCAATTTCAACACACACACACACCAGAACCGGACATACCCGCCCGGTGTATGGTCTGCGATCCGACGTAGTCGGATTGCCTACCTGGCTGGCTGTGTCGTACGATCGACTTGAATCGCGTGACTTACGACTAGACACTCTTCCGAGTTCAAAAATTACCGCTTAACCAGTGCTGCCAACACGACAAAACACAATAACCGACGACCCTCCATTCCCGCCGCAGCTAGGCTGGATCAAAAAACCCAGCATCGCCGACAAAGATGCACCACCGCCCACACAGTCTTTCCGCCGTAGGCGGGATGACAAACACCGGAATCTAGTCTTATACTATAAAACGTGAACCCGAGGGCGCAGCTTGTGGAGTAAATCCGAACTGCTATAGACGAAAATGGAGCGAAAACGCGGCGGCGGAGCGTTATCACTCCTCCTTATCGCTTTTCGCGGTTTCGACCTGTTTACACGATTTTTTTTCAAACTTTTCGAGTTTTACCCACCTCCGGGGCCTCGGGGGGCACCGTTCGGACCTTATTCGCCTTCCCCGCTAGATTTATAGTCGGCCCGCGGCCCTACTTTTTTCCCGGCGGGCCCCCCGCGGCGGATATCGCGTGCCAACCGAGCGCCGCCGTCGCGCGCGTTTTTTGCATTTTTTTTCGAAAATTCGAGTTTTAGGCGTTTTAGGGCGTATCGACCTCCCCGTTTGCATCTTATTCGCGTTCCCCGCTAAATTTAACGTCGAAACGTGGCCCTACTTTTTCAAAAACGAGTCCCCCGGCGGACGATTCGATCGCCGAGGGCGCCGCGTCGTCGCCGTTTCGACGGTTTTCTCGACTTTTTCGACTAGAGTCGCGTTTAGCACCTCTACGAGACGTCCGACCTCCCCGTCGTCGACGTATTCGAGTTCCACGCTAAATTTATAGCCGGCTCGCTTACCTACTTTTTCAAAAACGAGTCCCGTGGAGGAGCGACGTCGCTTAAACGAGAGTAGGTACCGATTGGGTATCGAGTAGGTACCGCTATATACGGACATAAATACGTGCGTCTCGAGGTTCGATTTTTTTCACGAAGCTCGGGTATTATACGTCCGAGGGCGGCGGAGCTGGTCGTCCGCTCGCCGACGCTGTCGGATCGCCCGCTCAAACGCCCTTTGACGGCCTTACAAACGGCGTTCGCCTTTCGCGGGCACGGCGACGCGGCTTAAAAGTCATAGAATTGACTCCGGTTTTCATCTGAGTAAGTGGCTAGGTTGGTTAGGCGTTAGGATAGGTGACTCGAGGGTCGTGGGTTCGAGCCCGGCGGCCGTGTTAAATTGAATTCCTTTTTTTTGCGTTTTTTTTTTCGTCACATTTATCATTATTAACGAGTGTTAATTTTTTTTTAAATTTGCATTTCATATTATATATATATTAATATTATTCGTTTGACGATATTTATTGGGCAAAAAATTATTATAATTAACATTTACCGACGCACCTACATGTTTCTTTTATAAATACATTATAATATAACTAACCTACGTGTAGTACATGCTTGATATATTACAGTTTTTACGTGATTCCGATTTGGTAAATACTGCTACAGATTATAAATACTATATTAAAAAATAGTACGACTATATGACTGCTCCATTTGCCGTTTTTTTTCGAAAATTCGAGTCCCGGGGTGGAGTAGTGTGTCGGAAACGAGAGTAGGTACCGTGTAGGTATCGCTATATACATACATATATACATGCGCCTCGAGGTTCGATTTTTTTTCGCAAATCTCACGTTTTGAAGCTGGCGGACACGGTCCTCCGCTCAAACGCCCCTTTGTCGGACGCGCAATCCGCGTTCGCCATTCGCGGGGACGGATACGCGGCTTAAGAGTCATAGATTTGACTCACATTTTCATCTCAGTAGGTGGTTA